CCCTTTTTCATAAACAGTTCGCCATCAAGGCGTTCCACAACAATCTATTTGCACAAAATTAGGATACTTCGGATACTTCATTGCCTTTTGATTTTCAACTTTAGCAACTAATCAATGTTGCTGAACTCACCTTATATCCGAAGAAACATTAGCTTTTGATCGTTGGCTAACTCGCTCTTCAACGATCCAATACATAAAGTCTGCATGGAGTTTCTTGGTGTCCAAGTATGCGACGATTGAAACTACCATCCAAACAATATATGAGAAAAGAAAAGCGGCGCCAACGTAGACGTTTCTGAAAATGGAACAAATCTGATTGAGAAATAGAGTATCGAAGTGAGATTTTCTCATATGTGAGGTTTCCCATGGGCTTAATGACTCAAGCCAGAGACTGTTCATTCTATGGCGGAACAAGATATAAATTCGGGCGATTGTTTGTTGGGACACCAGCAGCACCCGAGTTTGGGACAGGAATAAAAACTAGAAGACTGAGAGTTCACCGTTCGTTTAGCGCGTAGCCGTTACTAAGCGATTTTTTCTGCATGCGTGTTTATTCTTATTTGACTAATTTTCTATAATTGATATCCATTCTGCTCTTGAATTCTGACTTACATCCTTTAAAACTACAAACTATCATTTAAGTGACTTGATGGATTTGAATCATCTCATACGTAGAATCATTGATCTTGGGAAATCACGCAAACTCCTTAGAAGTCAGAGCAAGCCGGGTGGGATTACTTCTTATATAAGTGGGCTTATATATCATCCTTATCTAGCGGATAATTTAGCATTAACCACTTTTACAATTTCCTTGCAAAGTTTACCCTTAATTGCTCTGTTGGTACTCGTACCTTTTATAAAGGCCAAATTGGAGATTACAGTACAATTCCAGTATGGGAAGACTAAGCTCTTTCATTCATGTACACTTGAATAAATCCGATTACACCGTCTACTGACGTTGACATTGACAGCTACGTTTGACTCAACTTTTTTCCTCTCCCCTCCTTTTCCACCTTTGTTATTTTCTACATAACAATCTCCAGAAAATAATCTACCCACACAATCTTTTGCTACCTATTAAGCTGGCTAAAAATAGAA